TAGTTTCATTTTTATTTAAAAAAATGAAATGTACCCCTCCTGTACAGGCCTGGCTTGTCCCAGAATGTTCCCCAGTGCCTAACAAATCTGAAACCCTCCTCCCATCCATACATGCAGACTCCTCAGCTGCACCTGTCCAGCTGGCCTTGCTTGTGGAACAAGCAGCATTTCAGAGAAAGACATCTATCTGGTAGTCTCGATTTCAGCTTTCTTCCTAATAACCTACATTTGGCTTCCAGGACCTCACGTCTGCATTCCCCTACATCATTGGTACCAACCCAGCATTTGCAAGACCCCCATGAACACTGCTCAAGCAGCATCCCTCTTCTTTAGCCTTGTTTATTCTGCTGCATGTGATGCTGAAGAAAGTTGCCAGCTGTGCAGCCTTCATTCCACAAGCATGCATAAACTTCCTCTTGGCTTGGCCTGTCTTCCCTTCCAAGACAGGGCTGAGCATGAGAGGAATCTGTGAATACAAGAAGGACAGATTCCACAGAGCTTCCACATATATCCCAACAATAAGTCTGTAAAGGGTTACTCTTTGGGAGTTTTCCTCTTGCTGTGCCCTTGTCCTGGTTTCAGCTAAATAATCAATGGGATGATTACCTGGAGTAATTAATGTAGATGGGTACTAGGAGATCAGTAAATAGCAGTTCCTAAGTGCTTACCTCATTTGTGGGCTCATGCTTGGCAACCCAGGTTCCTTGTGCCAGAATGCTCATTGCCCTGTCATGCTGCCTCACACAAAGTAATTGGAGCTGTCAGTCCCTCAAGAGCTCCTTCAGTGGTAAGACTTGATCTTTCTAACAATGGAAAGGCGGTTGAAAGATGTGGCATTTTCAGGGGGTTACTCAAGTTCATTGTTTCTGCTTCTTAATGTTACGAGTTGACCTTTTTTGTTTAAGCCTCTGAACTAATGTTTGCTTTTTAATTTAGAAAATAAATCTTCAGAAAGAATTGTTTCAAGACTTTTCTAAAGTGAAAGTATTCCAGCTCTGAGATAACATCCTTTGAGACAGGACTGGTATGAGGGAAGTCAATTAGACTGTGACCTTCAGTTATCAAACACTGAGGAGGAAACATTGCCAGATATGCCTCTGACTTAAATTAGGTCTCCAGAGAAAAATAGAAAGATGAGAACACACAACTGGGTTTCATTATTAATCATCAAGGATCTCTTTTTATAGTCTAGGTCTGTCTTCTCCAGCCTGATGCCCTCCAGGTGTTTGCACCTGAGCTCCCATCAGCCCTAGCTAGTGTAAATGGTCAGGAATGCCAGGGGTGGTAGTCCAAAATATCAGAAGGACTCCAGGTTGGAGAAGGCTGTTCTAGATATTGATTGTAATGTGAATTTCATGGTTTAAACAGAAAAAGAACTATACATCAGTGGTGCTGTAGTTTTCAGCTCTGGCTTCTCTTTACCATATCCCCCCAGAGACTACATGGAAATCCTTGCACATTGTTCTGTGTATGCAAACTCCTGCTGTGGGTAAGCATCTGTATCTAATACTTATACAGAAAAGGTTTCCTCTATCTGTTTCTCAAAAAACTTGCACAGAAAGGAAAGTATAGGGCTTGGACCCAGGGATCAACTCGCAAGGGCTTACTCCCTATAGAAGTACTATTGAACAAAAGCATCCTTTGTCCCACTGGGCTGAGATGGAGAAAAAAAATCTTCCCTCCTTCTCACACATCTAACCATCAGTTGAGGGTCCTGTGCCAAGGAGCTTTTTATTTATGGTTGACTAGAGGCAGGTGAAGATGAAGGATTCAATTCCCTCAGGATCCTATCTTTCCAGTCCCGAGTGTCCTTCAAATCCCAAAGTGGTCTGTTCCACAGTTCACAAACCTAGAATTAATTCATATTTGCAGACTTATCATTCTAGCAGCTTTTTAGAAGCTCCAGAAGCAGAGCATCTTTTTTGAGACAGACTCTTGGTGTAGTTATGAGCTGAGAAGATGTTGTTAGAGGAAATACTCAGCCTGCTGGAAGATATGGACACAAGGACAACATGGCTTTTTAGTATATCTAGGTTCATACAGAATGACAACTGAATTTCATATTGAATGGGTTCAATAATCCATTGGTTTACAGTTTTGTGTGAACCAGATCACAGAAACTGTGGCATGGTGAATGTCTTTCCTAAATTATTTTATTCCATGATCTCAGATATTATTAAGCACTTCTGCATAAAAGTGGATAAAAATTATGTTCTGACAGCATCTGGGCAGCTTCAGTGCTCCTAATCTGCCAAGTGGAGAATAACAGCCCTGACAGTTGCAAAATTTGCTTCAGCTGCCAGGGTACTCACGAGCACCAACTGGGAGCACTTGGGGAAGAGCTATTTAAGAACTGGCTCTCCCTCTCACCCCCAAGCTGTCTCAGCAACACTGCTCTCCAGAATACTGAGCTCTTGCTGTGTTCAGACCTTGCTCATGGACCCTGGTCCACAGTACCCACTCCTTTGTGCTGTCTCCCTTGCTCTGGACCTCTGGCTTGTGTTTGATTACTCCCTTGTTTCCTGGACTGTGCTACAACAGACCCCTGGTTTGGCTTTGGCCTGTTTGACTTTGCAATTTGGACTTGAATTTAGACTGATGACTGGATTTTAGCTTTGACCACCTTGCCTTGTTTCCTCGGTCTTGGTGCATTATGTTACCCAGCTGCCCATGCCCTGGACCCACATGTGTTCAGACGGTTCCTAGTAGAACATGCCATAATTAAAAGCAAACCAGTGTCTCCTATCCCTTGCAGTTGCTCTATGCAATTATACCCCACCCCTGATTATTTTAAACCAAAGTGCATGAATTGGTTAAAAAGAAAAAAACTATTAAACCAGTCTTGTCTATTATAATCAAATAACCCAAAATAACCAAGGTAGAATGTAATGATTTAAAGTGTTGTGAGACTGTGTTCCTTTAAATGTTGGTAAGTTTCAGAAGGGCAAGGTGTGTGTGTGGGGGGGGTAAAAGTGGGGGATGAGTGAGTAACGTGATTGGTTGGTGACTGAGAATGTGGGTGGAGTTGGGAAGTGTATGTGAGGAGAGAGAAGGAGATACTCTCAGTCAGTCTGTTGCGGTCAGCCAGTGGTCTGTAGAATCTGCAGAGGCAGCCTTCCTTTAGTCACCCAAGTAGTGCTGTGGAAGGCAGTTAGGACTCCTAAGGAAAGGGAAGGATATAGAATACTTAGAGGACATACTAGCACCCAGAAAGAGGCAAACCCTCTTACTGTCAAGTATCATAAGGGTGTGAGAGACAGGAGATGACAGAAACCTGAGTGCAGGAGGGAAAGATTGAACCGAGAGAAATAGAACAAAGGCTGCTCAAAGAACATTCAGAGGAGAAAGGAGGATTTGAGAGTAAGGAGTCATTGTGAAGGGAAGGAGTGAGATATCTCAGTCAGAAGTTATTATACATTGTTTTCTTCAGAAAGGAAATATGTTCCTGAACATCTTGAAATCCATACGCCTATTGTACAAATGAAGTTTTGTGTTGTTTATTGTTAACTCAGAGTCTTAGGCTGTTTGACTACCGGAGTCTCCTCCTCAGGACCACATAGTCCAACGAAGGAGCCATATAGCTTGTGCACAATACTATGGGAAAGGTTAATTAATGAGATTGGTGGCAGTGTTATATACACAGAGAGGGAAATTTCAAAGAAAAAGACATACCATATCGAAACAAAATATAGTACTCATGATATGAGGATGCAAAAATAATTATGGTTTATTAAATGCTTATTTGTAATATTTCTATAGCATTCAATGTTTTTAAAATCCCTAAGCAGCTGGTTCTGGCTTGAAATTTATTAGCTCATTGACCAGGCCTTGCTTGATGAATCCAATCTTAGGATGCACTTGGTGGGAAGCTTATCGATCCAGCATATGAAAGCTACCATCTGTTCATGCTATGGCTGTTCTGTATACCACTGATTTAAAATCCATTCTGAGATTTAATTTAAAGAAAATGGATTAAAAACAATGTAGCCTTGGCTTAAGCATAGTCTAGCTTCCCAAGCGACATGAAGTACAGGTGTTAGATATGAAATAATTGTCAAGCAACCTATATGAAAACATGTTCAGTTTATTTGCTGTAACCAGGAGGTAAACTAAGAAAAAATAACTTGCTGTGCAATAAATCCTTACAGAACAGAGTGCAATTAAAATTGACTAGCTTAGCTTGACTAACATGCATCTGCATTAATTCTTTCAGTCAAAAGTTTCTCATCTTGAACCATTAAATGCAAATATTGCATGGTAGCAGCATCCTTGTCATGTCATGTTCAAATGTTTGTTTTTATTTTTTACTGCAATCAAACAAAATAATCAAACCAAACATAAGATTTACATAAATAATTATATTCCAAATCTTTACTTTTGTTATTTTCAGCATATATAGGACCGAAGAAACAGTTGTATTGCATATTGTTGATTCTGGTATAAAGGAGCAATTTTGTCAGGGTAGATTTGTTTTTATTCTGAAAAACATTCACATTGCACAAAAGCTTGCTTTTCTACAAATTGCATTCCACCCCATTGATCCCTCTGGCAGTTCCTGTTTTGGTAGCAGGAGGGGAGAGGGCTAGTTTAGTTGCAAAGGTGACCCTCCCAGTCAGGGCTCCTCCAGTGAATCAGCTGATGCCACAGAACTACATAGTAAATCAAATTGGAGTAAAAATGATGTCACTGAGGGCAGGTGAAGGCGATGTAAATGAATAATAGAATATTCCCACAAGGAGGGAGATTTCAAGAGGGAGAGGAAGCATTTCCCAGCACTGCCAGAAATGTTCATAAAAATGAAATGTATGTCAAAAACTCACAGTTACCTTCCACTAAAAGGGAGTATTTGACTTCATAATCCTTTGTACCAAGATCTGGTTTCTCTCTCTTGGCTTGCAAATGGTGCCATTTCATCCTTCAGTTTTTTTCTATAGTCTGGTGAGAAGTCGTCTTCTGGATGTTTTTTGCAGCAAATGTATTAGTAGCATCCTGCCTGAAGCCTACACTGGCAGATTGCGGTGCTGGTTAGAACAAGATCTGTATGCTGAGTGTGGAGCCTCCCCATTTTGGGTTGCAAAGTTTATACATACCTGAAGGAGATGGTAAAACACAGCATATATGAGTGGTGCATTCAGATGCAGAGGTTTCATTTGCAGTTGTTGTTTGGGGATGGGGTTATAGCAGGGGAAGAGAGACTGAAGAAGCTAGTTTATCTTATCCAGCACCAAGCTAACAAGGAAACAGTTCTCAAAGGCACCCCACACCTTAAGGCATGTTTGTATTTTAGAGCAACGTGTTAAGAGGAGACTTTATTGCACATCAGAGACTCATGGGAAGAGTGACACTACGTGAACGCCATGCAGTTGTTCCTTCCAACCACATCATGTTACTATTTTAGGTTGTTTTGGTTTCAGACCCTCCCTCTTTGGAGCAGCTCCCACTCCATCCCAGTTGCAAATGCTATCATGGGAATGAAAAGAAAAAAAACATGGCATGATGAGGAAGGAGATTGAGCATACTTGGCAAGCATAACCAATTCTTCAAAATAAAACTCAGTTCTGGGAGATCTCCCTTTAGTCATCAGATATGATGAGGTTTGCACTATCATTCAGGCAATATTTCCGTGGAGTACCAATAAACCTTCTGGCTGTTGAAGAGTTCTCTGCTCCCATTAGGACTTGGAAGTTCCAGCTGGGATGGACAGATCTGCCAGTTTCAGTTTCTCATTTTTCCCATCTTAAGTTCAGCTTTTTCCTGAACTTTAGATTGTTTTTAAGTTCACATAAAAAGTTATACACTATTTGTGTTCATTTCTCCTAATACATGCCTGTGAGGAATCAGGATGTTTTGTATGTTTCAAGTTCATCCCCATAATTAACTCACTCTAGTCCAAGACCAGGCAATGTGTGGTCATCCCCACAGAGGTTTTGGTCTACAACTTCAGTCAGTGCTAACTGGCTTTACCCATATTAAGAGATCATGAAAGCTGAAGACCAAAGCATCTGGAGGGCCACAAGTTACCTATCCTTGGGCACACCAATAGACTTTAGCTTTCCCTATATGGAGATAATACTATAGATCTCTCTTGCAAGCTTTTCTTTAAAAGATAAACTAAGTAATGTGCTAAAAGTCCTCCCTTACCCTACCATAAAGGGAAAGAACAAAGTCTGCTGGGAGTTTAAAGACAAATAAAATCGCTGTGCTTTAAGCTTTGTCTTTAAGATACCACAAGCCTCCTTGTTGTATTCCTGCATGGCACTGCAGCTGGAAAGACAATGAGGCTGAAAAAGAGCTGCCTGTAAAAAACAAATAAAAGCAAAGACAAGGTGATGATCTCGTAAACTTGGTTGAATGTATTTTACTGAAGAAAAACCATGGAGCTCCTAAATGATGATCTATCCCATGGATCCTCAAAATATGGCCTGCCATGCTCATTTATCTGGCCCACCTCAGAGCTTTCGGACTTGCTTGGAGAAAATGATCTCTGAGCGAGTCGAAAAGCTCTGAGCCAGCACAGGCGTTCTCTGAAACTGAGCAAAGCACATGCCAAATTGTAACAGCTCAACTGTGCATGTGCCGTCTCTTTCCCTGCCCACCCCCCATTGCACACATATACAGAGCAGGAAACAGATGAGAGGAGGGTGGAAGAGAGAGAGAAGAAGATGTTCAAAAAGGATTGAAGGTAAGAAAAATATAACTTTTTAAATCCATTTTTAAGTATGTGAGCCAAGTCCCTGGGCGCGAGAGCCACCGCCTTCTATGGGTAAGCCGCCATCATCGAGTGTCCGCCATGCTTCTTCCCCTCATGATGGGGAGAAGTGGGAGGCGCCCTGCTCGGCTAGCCGTGGCCCCGTCCATCAGCTTGGAAAGAAGCCTTTACCTCCCTCGTCACGGCCCTCTCCCAGGCAGGGGAGCCACCCCGTGCTTGCCTCTCTGGCCTCCCACTCCTAATTCTGCTCCCTCAGAAGTGGGGCAGCACGAGGATTATAATTTCCATCATGCCCAACCAGGATGGCCAATGGAAGTTGTAGTCCAGCTCATCTGGACAGTATCAGTTTTGGCAAGATTGCACTAAAAAAATGGTAGTCATTAGCTCTGCATCCAAATACAGCCATTGTGTATTGTGGGAATTGTTCTGGGCTGACTTGTTTCAAATACTAAGAGTGGCATTAACAGTATTTACCCTTAGTATTTTTGCTTCATTCTTTGTAAATGCCAGTTGCAGTCATCAGCTGCATTATGCAAAATATTCTATTTAGTGCCTTGGTTGTGTTGCAGCTATGTCCCTTGAACATGGACGTGCTCTTCCCCACCTCATCTTGGGCTTCTTCTGTAGCCCGAGGGAGTGGAGCAAACATTTCTAATTAATTTTTTAATCTTAATTTTAATCTTTAAGTTCAATTTTAATTTTTTAATGTGCAGTGTGCATAGAAATTTGTTCATATTATTTTCAAACTATGGTCCAGCCCCCCCAACAGTCTGAGGTACAGTGATCTGGTCCCCTGTTTAAAAAGTTTGAGGACTCCTGATCTATCCAAACACTGCTATTGTGGACATGCTGCATTATAACACAAGCAAAGAAAAGATAAGAAGTAATACCTGTTCTAAAGTAGTTTGGCTAATGGAGTACTGTTTAATTTGGAAAACGGCTTTGTTTCTCTCTAAAACTTTGAAGAGCTTTGCTAGGCAGCCCCATCTTTGCGGCACACGGTATTCCAACAGATTAAGGTGTTGTCCCTAAAGTGGGAGGAAAACAGGCAAACATCAGGGGATATTATGATCAAGTTACACGCTTTCTACTGTCACAGAGTTGAACACTGAATACCATGTAGGTGCACTGTTTCTAAACACTAAACAAAGCATCATGAGTTGGATCCAGAAACTGCCTTCTGAGAGAGCAAGGGCTCCATTTGTGAAAAGTTCTGCTGCCTGATTTGGGGGATTGCATGCATCACAGATCACCTCATTCAGCAGGGACTAAATGGGCAACATTTTGCAGGGCTATCATGGGGAGGGAAAGCAAGGAAGTCACTACCATTAGCACAGCTGATCCAGGAAAATCTGAATCCAACCTCATGACATGATTCAAAACAGAGGTTTTAGAAATATCAGGAATAGTGGATGGTTTCCAATAGCAAAATACTGTTTCTGGCTGGAAAATGTTTAACCATGGAATGATTTTTTCATCCTTTTTAACAGTTTTGTACCAAGAAAAGCAAGAAATCAACAGCCTCTACAAATTATACCATTAAACAAATGATCATTATGCATTCAACCAGACATTACTTAACATAATTTATTCTACTTTTGGTAACGATGGGAATGAGCAGGGAGTTCTGTCCCTGACAAGTGCACAACTTATTCAGAAGCTGATCTGAACTTTCACCAGGTATTAACCACACAACATGAAGCCTATCTGAAACCACAAGACTAGCAGGCAAACTTTTTGTACCAGTTTCACAAACTGTCCTGTGCATCACCATAAGATGGCTGTCCTGGAAGGTATAGTTTACCTGGCAGAAGTATCAAGAAGTCCAAGTTTCTTTTTCTTTGTGGTTTGATGTGCTGCACAGAAAAATAATGGCCTTCAGCTGCCTGCCCTCTTCATTTCCTAAGAATGTTTCTGAATTCCACTTTGGGCCCATAGACATTAATGGGAAATTAAGACAGCAGTGGCTAAAGGCCCTTATTTTGGTGTGAAGAAATTTCTGCTGTCAGAAAGAAAAAATGATTAAAATAGACCTTGGCCAGCTCTAAGAAAGTGCCTTGGTGCCTTGGTGCTCCTGGCATCTCATTGCTTACCTCTTCCATAATGGTGAGAGATGTGCTTTAAAATACATGAACACTGGGGTTGTCAGAAAGCTCAGTTCCACAGCTAAGCTAACATTCTGTGAACTTTGTGTTTTCCTACAACACTATGGCACTGTTCCTGTACCTCCTAACTACTAGGCACCTGCTGCTTCCCCTGAAGAGCTTCCAGTCCATATTCTAAATTCTACCCCAACCCACCACAATTCATGTTTGCAAGGATACCTTGAAAAGTGTTCCAGGAAAATGAAACTGCAAACAGTCCATGATGGCACTTTGGCAAACTGCTTCTTTGCTTATCCACACTTTGACTGAATAGCCATCACCAAACCTGAGTCCATTGAAGAGCAGTGCAGACCAGGTTTACAGTGCAGACCAGGAAAAAGAGAGAGAAATTGTTGATTAGATTTCATGCTTTCAGAAAATACACAGTAAGAATCAGCATTGCTCATATGTCATGGTATTATTCAGTCTTCTGCCTTTGTTAATATAGTGAAACTTGGCAAGTACACAAGGTTTCAAAATTCAAGAGGATTCTAAAAAAGAAAAGGGAGACAGTGGTGAGATGCCCACAAAATGGTGAGAGCATGTAAGGAAATGGGACCATAAAGCTGAACTGCAACAGAGTTTAGGGCTGGAGTCAAGGGCAGGCATGGTTGTGCCCCTGCCAAGGGCTTCCATCTCAGCAGGGGCCTCCTGAGCAGAGTGGGCTTGTTGCTCACCTCCGCAATCTGTTTCTGTTCTGATCCAAATAATGGTGGGTAGCAAAATTGACTCTCTGCCAACACCCATCTCCAGACCTTATTTTCTCAGTTGAGATTGCATTAACATCTGTCCTTGATTCCTGCTTCCTTCCTCTCCATCCCTTGGAATCCTTTCCCCGCTCCACCTCTGCATTTACCCTGCCTCCTTCCTTCTGCTCTTTTCCCTTACTTTCTATTCAACTGTAGCCTGTCCCCATGGCAATACTGATGAGAAGGCTATCCTGGTAGAAATGTGCAGGAAAATGAGGTTAGAAATGGGAGACTCCTCACTTAAGGAAAACAGCTAGTTTTTGTTCTTCTAATTCTTACAGCATCACCCCAATCAACTTTCTCTATGTGCTCACATTCATTTCTGACTTTTAGCTTCCAAGCCTTTCAACAGCAGTCTAGGCCCCTTTCTTTAATCAGAAGCATGTTGCTTGCTAGGCATCCAAATAGGCCTGAGATGAAGGTGAAAATAGAGCACTGGCTACCAATGTCACAAAGACATCATCCCTCAAAGAAGAGGAAGTAATGCTGTACCCTTGTGTAGTTCCTAAGAGTAAAAAGTATTTTCTATGAGAGTGGAATATTATTGAAACTGAAGAGGAGTATATGACAGTATATGCCAACATATGGACAAAAAGAAAACATAGAAATACTCCCAATGTACATTGCATCTTGGATCACAGAATAGTTCAAGAATACACTTGTGCAATCTTGTAGTTGGGAGAAGAAATCACATTTATATAATTTCCACTGTCATTCAACAAGGTGGTCTCACTCAGGTACTAAATCAAAACCAATTTTGTTTGCTAGAGTCTGTATGCTCTGTTATGGAATACAGATTCCAGAGGATAGCAATATGAGAAAGACTTTGGGAAGCAAAATAGAGCAAGCATTGGTCGAACTGGGTACAATAACACAAGTTAATTATACCCATCACTGACATTCCATGGAAAGAGAAAGTTGAGCTGCTTGCTGAGGTTCTTCCTCAGAAGAAACAACTGCAGAACATTGAGGAAAACCAAAACTGTATCTTTGTGATGGACAAAAATGCCTGAAGGGCCGAGGAGGAAGGTGGTTTCTCAGGGCTGGAAGTGGCTTCTACCAGCTTTTCATTCAGGAATATCTATCACTAGCTTTTGAGTTGAAAGGAAAGACAAAATCATGCATTAAGCAAGATTTCCAAACAATGCCCTACCCCCATTCCAAGAGTTTAAAAATAAGCTGTTAGTAACAATCACCACCATCACCTATTGTGGGGCAGTAGCCTTTAAAAAAACATCCAGATTATTTAGCTCTATCCCTCCTTTTTAAAAACAAATCTGACATCCCACCAATCAGCTGCTTGGCAAGAGCAGGGGAACTAAATCCACTTCCAAATGAGCTGATTGGCAGGGTTTCTTTTCCTTTTCAGCCAGTGTGTGTTTTAGTTGTGTGTGCAAATCAATGTGTTAGCACCTGTCCATCTGCATTTTAGATTCCCTATCCAACTAAAGATATGAGTACAGATGTTTGCTTCAGTGTGAGTATGCTCCTTTCTCATTGCACATCATCTAAACCCACAAGAAAATAGTCAAAGACTGTAGAATCTTGAAACAAAATGTAATGAGTTAAATATTATATGAGAGTTGTAAGTGCAAGATGGATGTGTGGTGTTTTTAATGCAGGTACTTCATTTCAGGCTTCAGCTGGGAAAGTGTATACAAAGGATTCACAACAAGATCCCAAGTCCCAACCTTGGAGAGATTTGGTATCCCTTAAAGAAAGAGGGAACAACCTGCACATTTCTCAGACAATTCAAAATGTTGGTTTTGAAGTATATAGCCTTACAAGACTGAGGGCTGAGACACCTGATGGAGCAGATCACCCAGTATGGATCTCCTTAGACAATAGACTGAACATCTGGGTCCTCCTTCCAATAGAGGGTCAAAGGACGGCCAGAAAAGAAAAGGCCTTTTCTGTGGTGGCTTGCCAATCACAGAATGCGTTTCCCCTTGAGGACTGTCTAGCACCAACATTGTCATACTTTTGGCACTAGGTTAAGACTTTCCTGTATTCCTGGGCACTTAACAGAATATGTCAAGTCTTAGTCACTCCTGGGATTTTTATTGTTGATTGTTCTAAATTGTTTTTGTATGCACACAATTTTTATATTGCACTATCTAACATGTTTTCATTGTTTTAAACTGTGGCAAACCATCTAGAGCACAATTGAGAGGGAAAAAATATAATAAAGCAATACACTCACAAAACCATGAAGTTCCAGTCTATCTGTAGTAGGTACTGTTGGATACATCATTCTGGCCAGGGCTATACAGGCTCCTGAGAAAGAACTGCCTGGGGTCTAAAACGAGAGTTGGGGTGGCTTCCTCCCTTCCTTGCTGAATGGGTCTTCTAACAGAAAGGCTCTGTTTGGCTGCTGAGGTGATGGCCAGGGGCAGTCCACAGCCCAGCTGTGGCCAAGCAAGCTGTCCTTGTAGCACTGACAACTTCTCCTCAGAATGGCTGGAAATTCCCAGAGAACTCCTCCCTTTTGCTATGCTTGTGGGTGATCTCTGAGGACAAGATTAACCCACCACAACATCAGGGCTGGCTCTTGAATATCATTACAGAGGAAATGGGGAAGTAATTCCCCTTTCTCAGACTGAGCCCAGAGATACGATTTTCCACCATTTGTCAAACTGAAAAATCAGGGGGAAATCCACATTTTTCCTAGTTGAAATTATTCTTTTGCCTTCCTTGGCTAAATTCTCTGTATTAGAAGCACCAAATAACTTCATATGATTCAATCTGTGCTTACAGCAGTGGAGAAAAGGCCACTTTGGTATATGTATATAATGAAACACGTAAGTAGGCCTATGATGTTTCTTTGTACCATTTCTCAGCTGTGCTGCAAATTTCCACATTTATTAAAAGTTTTGTGGCATAATCCATTGTACAGTAGACACCAGAAGGAAAAAGATCCATCCAGTGTAGATTCCATAGCACCAGCTGGCTGGCGACAGGTTGCTAATCCATAAATGATTCCTAATTAAATCTTTTAAATGCATAACATCGTCCCCACAGACATGCATGTGATGGTAAAGATGATGTTACAAAGATGGATAGAGTTAACAAGGGTATTCAATTTAGATGAGAACCAAGCGAAGGCAGTCTTTTACAAGAGATCATTACTTCTTATCAGTTTTCTGGCATTCACACACACAGCAGCTTGTTGAATTACAGTGCGTAAAAAATGCCCACTTACAGGGAGATGTTCAGTGATCTCATCAAATGAAGCTGTTTAAGTGGTGGAGCTTCCAAGGCAAATGAATCAAAATCCTGATTAGCTAAAGATAAGAGATGTCTCTGTGGCCTTTGATATCAGTCTTAATTTTGTATATCACCAATGATGGTAAAAATAGAAACATTTCACACTGAGGACTATTTTATGACTAGCCTGGTTTTGCCTTCACTTCTGCACCTTGAACACACGTCTCTCCTGTCACAAAGGCTTTTCACATGCTGCAGGCTACCCCATTTCCCCTCAATATAACCAGCAGCCAAGCTGCTTCTTCAGTCATCCCAGGCCAGCAAGGAAACTAAACTTTTCCTCTTTAACTCAGCTGTGGTAATTGCCAGAAGGGGCCAAAATGGAATTAGACAGAAATATGTTCTGGCTTGATTGGAACTGCTGGGATCCAGTCTTTGAACACCCTACAGACCAGAGTTAGATGCTGAGGAAAACATTTGTGCTCGAACAACAGAAGCTTGAACCCCAAACCAATCCAGCATTCATCTGTTGCAAAAATAGCAGCAGCAGCAGCAGCAAAACTTTGTCCAAAGCCAAGATTGACACTTTCCTTTGAGAAAAAAAGCATAATAATTTGAACCACTCAAGGTAAAACAACTCTATTGCATATGGAGGAAACACAGGCACCTGCTGTATGAGAGAGCAAGTGAGAATGTTGCCCCGCTAACCATGCACAGAGGTAGCAAGTCACTTTGCCAGGAGGGGGACCGCCTCCATGCACCATCGCCATTCCTCCCGTCAGTCAATCACTCTGTCTCTCATTTTAAAATTTTCTGGTGGTCATGGTAGTGGTTGCAGTCCTTACAAGTCTTGTTTGCCCTCATTGGCCATGTCTCCCAAAGGCGGCAGTTATCAGGTTGCTTCCAGGCAAAAGAAACAAAGAAAAAGCATTTGCCATGACCCAAATTCTATGCAAACCATATGAAAGAGGTTGGCATATGCTTCTATAATGATGTCCCAGCACTAGTAAAACTGACCCACTCCTCAGAAGTTCATTAAAAATGTGCTCTGTGGTTTAAAAGCTTTAGAACCCTGTAAGCCGCAATGCCCAGCTTCCTAAAGAGATACTTTTGATAAACGCATGCATATTCTATTCGGGGATTAAATTGGGCTTTTAAAAAAAAGAGTCTCAGCACTCAACTCCCTCCAGGAACAAGCTGCGCCAGCTGCTTCTTTTCTCAAGGCCATGGAAGTATTGGACTCTTGTGGCCTTTCAACACTTCAAGAAAAAATAATTGAGTATCAACTAACCAAAGTTAAAGCACTTTTAAATGCCTTTGATTCTCAATACACATGTTAAACCTATGCTGGATAGCCTTTTATTAAACCAGAGAGAATTCATAAAAGGGGCTCAAGTTTGGCTGGATACTGTTCATTTTCTCAGGCTCTGTTCAGTGCACTGTTCAGTGTTCAGCTTCTAGTGCATGGTAGATACCAGTGTCAGGTGAACCTTTGGTACCCTGCAGGTTGTGTATATTTGCACTGACCTGTGATGCTTAAAACAATTTTACTTTAGCTGCCATAGCAGTATAGAATTAAATCTTTGGGCTTTTTAAATAAAACTGGTGTGGTTTGTACCTCTCAAGAGCAATGAGCCAATCAAACCTTAGTTCTGTTTGGACAGTCTGTAGCTCAAAGCGCACTTCAAAATTTTAAAATTTTGAGAAAGAAATACATTTAGAAATATACATTTTGATGGAAAACACATTGGAATACATTTCAAGTTTTTAAAAATGTCAATTTAAGCACGTACTTAGTTCTCTGTGTGTGTGGTGCGGGGGAGAGGGAGGGAGGAAGGGAGAGAGGGAGAACAAGACAGAGACTCAGGAGTGGTAGTGGAAAGTAAGGAAGAGAACAGGATATATTTTCAGGAAGTGGAGGGAAGACTTTAAAAATTCACCCAGGCAAACAAGTCAGCCAATGGTGGTGGCAGCCATTTTCTGGGGAACTCTATAATTACTCCATTATATTGTTGAGAAAAAAGTTGGTGTTCTCTGAACAGTGAGAACAGTTTTCCTTTTCTCAAAAACAGTACCTCTGGAATGGCATTACATCCAAATATAGCACCATTCAAACATGCTCCATCACTTGCCAGAACCCTGTAGAAAAGTCACTGCTGATGGTATTATCTATTATAGTAACCCCCTCCCCCCGAAATGTGCTTTTAGAGTTTCTCCCGACATTTGAGATCTGAGCCTAAAACAATGCCCCACATTCTTGGCTTGTAAAGCAAGTCATTAAAGTGGGGCAGTTTCTGCAGGCAAACAAAAAACCATTTAAAGACAAATGCAAATATATGAAGTTTGTGCAGATCTTTTTAAAAATCCACAGATCACTGTGAAAACAAGATGGAATTGAGTTATGGGTACAACACATGGCTGAGAGCATGGACTGTCTCACTGTATAACTTAGAAAACTCCTCTAGGAGTCTTTTTGGCTAAAAGATGGCATAAACATGCTTTAGAGAGATAAAATATTCTTTTTCTATTGCCATAGACTGAAGCCTTTCAGCATACTGCAGTGGGATGTACTCCGGATGAACATGGGAAAATGATCTAATATTTTCTTTGTGCACATAATCAGAAAATCATTCCATCTTCTAATGCTTTTTGTTTGCACTTTTATTTGTGCCAGGTCTCTGTCCAGGAATGAATTATATGCTTATACTATTTTCAACCAAATGTCAAGGATATTACCAGAGTACCATAGCAGCAAAAGAGAACAGAAAATTATTCTTCCAAGAATGGGGATATATAGATTTTGCTAAATCCATTCTCTCTGTGTGTTTTACAGATAGTCAGACATCTTCCATTGATAAAATAAATGTTCCATCTGCTTGTTGATGGAAATTGATTTTTTAAAACCAGAATTTCATTTTTCTGTGCTACTCCGGCTTAGCACTAACATTCATTAACTAATGTTGCTTAGTGCATTAGTACTAATGAGAATTTGTGCAAAGTGCTCACCCCTCCACCTCAGTGAAACATTAGTCCACAAGTGTGTTGAATCCTTGTGATGTGGAAAAGCTGGTTCACAGCAGAATCCAAAAGTCAGATTCACAGAAATTTGAACTCATCTGAATTCCTTGCAGATTTCTCCAACTTCCCTAAAGTAGACAAGAGGGAAATGCTCCTAACAAAATCATTTACTGATCATTCATCTTAAAGGAGGACTCCCCAGCTGCAGGTCCTAATCACCTTGTAATAGGTGGCAGTATGTAAGTGGCCTGATGTGCTCACTTCATCCTTTACAAATGGATGGTTATTTGCAAGGATAATTGTTTTTCATGTTTTTCATGCTGTTTTCATGCAAACTGCAAGGGCAAGCATCGCTTCTGGGCAACGCTCACTATTACAGGGGTTGAATCAATAAAATTAATCAAGTACAAGTTTAGAGGCGAAGGTTTGTTCCAGCTCAGCTTGATAATGTGTGTTTTACCATGTAAATGCCACCTGACATCTCTAACCTCCAGCCATATACTGCTTGCAAAATGGCAACAATGCAGACCATCAGTGCTCGCAACAAGGGTAAGTTCAGAATCAATTGTACTCTTTTCATCACCACACCATTCCTTAACCTTAACCCTAAAAAGGTAGTTTGTCTTTACCATGATAAATAAAGTTCCAGTAGTCACCAGCCTGTTTGTATGAACAAGGAATACAAAAATTGTGGAAAGGTCTTATCAATGTGTTAATCTTGCTGAACAAGCAATTTCTTTGCATTTATTTGGAAGCCCTGACTATCTCCAATTAGCAATTATTTGCTTGGATAAGAGGATCTGTTTTCTGTGAGAAGGATTTTGCTCATGGAAGGCTGGTGACTCCACTGATCTGCAGGATCCCCACCCCCATGCTTCATCACACCCCATTCAGCAGCATCTACTGACTATGTATAGCATTGTCAAGGGAGCTGGAGGGGCTTCACTGCAAAGGAGGGAGCAGAAAAGACCACTTCTGCCCTCAGGCATAAATCCAGAACCAACCCTCCATTTGACAAATAGGACATGTCCACATTCCACTTCTGTGGAAAAGCAATCCTGAAGAACGGCCAGCTTCAGAATGCCATCAATTATTTCATTAAAACAACAATGGGGTGGGGGGTGGGGGGGTGGGGGAGGACTAGATGCATGAACTCTGGGCTACAATATGCCCCTTCTGAAATATACACATTCTATTTTCTGACTTCATTGATGATGAGCAGCTATCTCCCTTAATGGAGCTCACTGCATATTGTTTAAGGCTGGGAGTTCCCAACATGGTGTTTGGGGGTGCCAATGACCCCACAGATGCCTCTTTTGGTGTCTACCAGGTGTCTACCAATCACAGACTCTCAGTCCAACCTACCTCACAGGGCTGTTGTTGTGGGGATAAGATGGAGGAAGAGAATGATGTAAGCTGCCTTGAGCCCTTTGTAGGAAAAAGGCAGGATATAAATCCAAAAATAAATAAATAAATACCTGGGCCTCCTGATCTTAATCTTATTTCTTGGTTTCTTTAAATTAAACATTAAAACAAAAAACTGAGGTGTGAGGCACTGACTCTGCAAAGCAAAGTTTTGGTCACCAGCACCATCTTCATTTCAGTTCCAAAGAACATTTTTGTGTTTGGATCTGAGCTTCCAAATCTACCTTGTGCACAGCTTTGGGCAAGTTTCTTCAGTCTCACCAATCTGACTTCTGGGAAATGACTACCCTATGACCAGCCATGAGGACTATGCCAACTCCTTTATGAATGGGCAAGGTGCTCCCATAGCAGCCAGTTGATGAGATGCTCATGACATCCTCAGCATGCCAAATGTGCCCACTGATCAAAAAGTTTGGGGATCTCTGTCTTAAGGATATGCTTCAAATAAGGAGCAGCCTCAAGCCAAATTCATCACATACAGCCTTGTCTCCCAGCAGGTTTGTACAGCTCTGAGGCATGCCTTCCAGTAGGAAACATGTCATGCCATATAAGGCAGTGGGTCCTTACTTGAGTATTTGTGTATGCAAATCAATGTGTTTTAAAAAAAAAAAAAAACCTCAAAAACACCTGAGCACAAACATGATAACTTGGCATGGATATCAGTGGCTATCTGAGGCCAGTGAAATGCAGAAATGCACTTCATCAAAATGGAGGGAGCAATTTTGCATATCTGCATTGTTTCAAAGGAGCACTGCATGGAATTCTGGAGATAATACTTTAGCCTTGCTTCAGCAGCCACAACCTTTGTAGGTGTCTATGGAAGGAGATTGGTGAAACACAGGAAGGGAAGTAAGGGAGGTGGGTTGGTGTCTGTATTTATTCTAGAATAAAAATATGCATGGAATTATTTCAAAAGCAAATCCTTCCCCCTTCCCTGAAGACTACAAGAGTTAAATTTTTAAAATTAATGGTTGTGTCTCTTTTTACTTAGAAAATTTAGCAGCTTGCATTATCCAAATAATGTGTGGTAGAAAATCCAATATTCCTTTAGACTGTAATTGTGATAAATCCAGTGGGCTAAATTCAGTCACTGAACTGTGAAATAGAGGGAAACTTTGCTCTCCAGCAGCAGGTCACAAAGACAATTTCTCAGTGACAGCCCCTTCTAACACCATTTTCAGGCTGAATCCAAACTAAAGAATGCTCAGGTCAGGACCTGTGGTAGGACCCAGTGAAAACAACCTCCCAAATGTCTCACTGAATTGCACTGAATATTCTCTAGGAGGGGTGAAAACTTCTTCCAACAGGTTGAAAAACAAATTTTCTCAGAAAACTGCCTAATGAAAAATATTGGCTTACTAGTACTATTGATTGAAGTTATAGTTTTAGCTCATATTTGTGGATGAACAAACCAGTGGCCTGAATCTGGACTGGAAACTATAAAGAGTTAGGGTGCATCCTTCAACAATATTAAACAACAATCTCCAGTGGCACCTGAAATCTTCTATTTCATTTGCATGCACTAAAGGTAGCAGTGGATCTAAAGTGACTCACAGAACCCATTCTAGTCTCCCTGATTTACAACTCGACAACCTCAACAACAGAAATGTATAGAGACTTTGATATCAAGTTGATTTCCAATACAAGTAGTAGTGACTGATAAATTTGTCTAATCTTCTTTTAAAGGCACCCAAGCTGGTAACAATTGTTACATCTTGACATACCTAATTCTGCATTTCAGTTATGTACTTTGTGAAGAAGCATATCTTTTTATGTGTTCTAAATCTCCAACACAAGCTTCATTGGATGAGAGAGGGAGAAAAATGACTCTCCATGCCATGCATAATTTTATGCATATCTATCAGGTCCTTTCTTACCTGGCTTCTTCATAAGGTAAAAAGAGCCAAGTGTTATAAACTCTCCTCATGGGACAGTTGCTCTGCTGCCTTAATCATTTTAGTTGCTGTTTTGTGCACTTTTTCCATCTTCCATTTTCTATTTTCTGCAGGAAGTTGGCTTTCATAGCTTCTTTGCCACTGCACATTTACCAGTTTGGTCACCTCTTTAATTTTGTGGTGCATTTCCTGACCTGCAATATCCATGCTCTGCATAGCCATAGCTAGGTGAGCCCTCAATGGTTTCCCTGAATGGATGTGTTCCAAGAACTAACTCAATAAGAAGCAAACATTGGAGTCCTGCTGTGCAATTATGGCATGCTTCCATTCTGATCATTGTGAACCAGTCTGATTTTCTTTCAGCATAGTCTGGGATTCTCATATATACATACACATCTTTAAATGGAAAGGTAGGAATCACTGATGAATCTGACTGGGGGTAAATATCTAACGGATTTTCATGATTCAGTCTCTGTGGGGGCACCAACTCACTGTAGTGCAAGTCAAGTCAGTTTGTGGACTTCCATCTCTTAGATGGGCCATTAGTTACACATTTTGTAACTGTGAATGAAATTTGCACAAATACACCTTCCCCCAAACCATGTGACTCTACACAAGTTGTGCTGAATCAGCTGATATGTGTATATTACAATTTATGTAGTTTACAGATTGCACAAATTATAATTGGAATTTCAATTCATGCAGATCAGCTGATTTTGCAGAAATCATTCTAGAGCCATATAGTTTTCAGGTGCTTATTTGTGCAAAATCTGATGGTTTTGTGCAAATAGCACTAGATCCACATGGTTTTCAGATCCTTATTTGCACAAATAAGCCATTTAGCCATTAAGATTAACAAGTCACAATCCACCTTAGAGAATGAAATCCACAAAGAAAAATAATTCAACTCACCCTGCATCCAATCATCAAGTAGAAGAGGACAGGAAATTTGTTGAGCTCAAATGAACCCGATTTCCTTGCCTCAGTACCTTAAAAGGCCAGGGGTGTCCCCTCAAGCAGCTGCTTCATGACACCCCAAAGCCATAGGGCTAGCTGCTTGCTTGCAACCGGGGGGAGTTTCAAAACACTCTGTAAAATAACATGAGACCTGCTGTGGAAACTCAAAAGGTGAGAGCCATTTTGAGTTTCAGAATTTACTTTCTGAATTTCAGCCACTCAGAAACTCAGTTTTTGAAGTATAACTTGGGAGGATGTTTTCAAACATTACCTGGGCGTGACACGCAACACATTGTAAGGCACTTAAAACTGCCATTGACCATAATAGCCAGCTGTGAGCACAGGGCTTCATACTCTTCCATACTAGACCAAGAAAGAAGTCCAAAAACCAGTAGTCAGGACACGAGAGAGATTAATAACCAAGCTTAATTAAAATGTGAACAAACCTTGGTAGCTGATGAAATGGGACACATAACCCTTTGCTTCCTAGGTCCATGATTCAATGGCAGGGGCCAAAAGGCTATTAGTAATTACAAGATGACAGCTGGCTGACTCCAATAAAAATGAATGGCCATTTTTGTCTCCTGTTCCAGATGGATAGGCCTGACTGCATTAGCAAGAGCACCACTACAGGCACATTAATTAACTTCTCTGTTGGCAGACTCAACCGAGTTGCTCTATCTTTATTCAACCCTAAAGGTCAGAATTTTGGTAGGACAGTGGAAGTATGTCTCCATAACTGTCAAGTGTCATATAATCATCCTTGAGGAAAAAAGTTATTCTTTGCTTACAGGCATTTTGCATGTGGAATGAGATAGAAACAAAGCCTTAGGCAGTAGACTCAAGTATATGCATGCTGTCTGCAGGTGAAGCATACCTTTTCTGAAATAGGGAACAAAGTTCTATCAATGGCCTGTCCCTGCTGTGGTAGATTTCTTCTTTCAGGGAGATTATTTTTTAAAAAAGGATTTAGCATAGGAGAGCATCCAAAACTTTTAATAGGTTATCTGTAGTGCCAAACTTAGGGTGGGGACAGGGAGTAGGGTTTCAGGTTCAGACTAAAACCCAGAGTGACAATTAAGTGACCCTATTGACAATTAAGCCACTGACAGAATGAGGTGGCAAAGACAGGTGGCAGAATTCTGGATTTACCACTTCATGCTGCAGTGTGTATGGGGGGAATATTTTTGTACATTCTCCTACATCAAAACCCAAATCTGTATAATGTAAATTTAGCACCTTGGAAGAATATATTTAACTGCTTTTCATAGCTCTCCCCCCATGCTAGTTCACTAGTTCTGGGGATTCTATTATTCTACATGAGGGAACATTAAAAAATAGATTCTGCCTGCAGTCCCAAGTAGTACATTCCAGACTTCTGTCTCCTATCTCATTCACTGCAGTGTGTAGATTGGCTCTTAAACTGGCTCTATACTAGCAGTGTGGCCTAGAATTGTTGTTGTTGTTGTTAGTCGCGAAGTTGTGCCCAACCCATCACGACCCCATGGACAACATTCCTCCAGGCCCTCCTGTCCTCCACCATCCCCTGGAGTCCACTTAAGCTCACACCAACTGCCTCAGTGACTCCATCTAGCCACCTCATCCTCTGCCGTCCCCTTCTTCTTTTGCCATCTATTGTTCCCAGCATTAGGCTCTTCTCCAGGGAGTCTTTCCTTCTCATTAGGTGGCCAAAGTATTTGAGTTTCATCTTCACTATCTGGCCTTCTAAAGAGCAGTCAGGGTTGATCTCCTCTAGGACTGACTGGTTTGGTCGCCTTGCGGTTAAGGGGACTCACAGGAGTCTCCTCCAGCACCACAATTCAAAGGCCTCAGTTCTTCGGCGCTCAGCCTTCCTTATGGTCCAGCTTTCACAGGCATACATTGCAACTGGGAAAACCATAGCCTTGACTATATGCACTTTTGTTGGCAGGGTGATGTCTCTGCTTTTTCGTATGCTGTCTAGATTTGCCATAGCTTTCCCCCCCAGGAGCAAGCGTCTTTTAATTTTTGGCTGCAGTCACCATCTGCGGTGATCTTAGAGCCCAGGAAAATAAAATCTGTCACTACCTCCATTTCTTCCCCATCTATTTGCCAGGAAGTGAGAGGACCAGATGCCATGATCTTAGTTTTCTTAATGTTGAGTTTCAAGCCAACTTTTGCACTCTCCTCCTTCACTTGCATCAAGAGGCTCTTTAGTTCCTCTTCACTTTCTGCCACAAGCGTGGTATCATCTGCATCTCTGAGGCTGTTGATATTTCTCCCAGCAATCTTCATTCCAACTGGTGATTCATCTAGCCCCACCTTTCTCATGATGTGCTCTGCATATAAGTTAAATAGGCAGGGCAACAGTATTAGAATTAGAACATACAAATAAAGGTCTAAAATTAGAACATACAAATAAAGTTCAGGAAAGCTTGCCGTATGTCAATTACAGAGTCACAGTGTGTATGAATCAAGAGCTAAAAAGACTCTAAAGGTGCACTGCTATGCATCTTGAGACAGAAAAGAATTAATGCTACCCAACATGCTGGAAAGCATAAGATATTTTTTTCTGTTTAATGTGCAAAGGATTGTGCTGTAAGAAACATGTGAACTGGCTCTGCATATTCTTGAGTTGCTTTACTGTTCCCTGGAGAAAACAGCAAACAGTTCACATCATGTTAGATCTGAACACAGTCAAATCCTACATGGAGAAATGACCTTTGGAGAGAGAAATTTCAATAAAGCAAAATTAAAATTAAATGTTGGGTAGCATAATCTGAAACTAAATGGCAAGTTTAATGCTTGAGTGGGAAAGAGGACCTCAGTGTGGCAGTGAATATGGCATAATGAATCCTCTGAATTAATATATGTACTGTGTATAAGAACTTTTATAAAGCTCTATATCAATGATATTTAACATCCCCTACATCAATAGTTCCCAACCATTTTTCACTTGAGTACCCATTGGCAGCCCATTTCATATTAGCAAAATGCTTGTCATTAATCTAGTTGCTGTTATTTTGAATTTATATGTTGTAAGTATAAATAAATTGTCCACTAAGTGAACTAAAAAGCAATGGAATAATAAGGTGAACAGACAGTGCACATATATTTACCGTCAAAACTCAAGAGTCTTCCGCCAGTATTCTTTTTTTTTTTTTTTTTTTTTCATTCCCCTAAATGTCCTGGTTCGTATCCCTGGGGTGGGAGTGCAGGGAGGTGTATCCAGGTTGGGAATCACTGCATGACATTATAAAGTTGAGGAAAGTCAAATGTTATAGATGATGTAATATTAAATTGATCTTATGCATAACTGGAAGTAGGGTTGCAATGATCCGCCCTGAATCAGGCCCTCTTCTGTTCACCAGACTTCTTCCCATGCTCAGGCCTTGATTAGGAAGGGAGCAAAGCCAAGAAGAAGTCTCCAAACACTTGTGCCACTCTGGTTGCACATCCCTTTTCCATAGCATGTGCAGCTCAAACAAAGGCTATAAGTCATATGCACAGAAGAGGGATGTCACGCGCACAGTATTCATGCCGGATCGCTTCCTGGCAGGGGCCTGCATGACCATCATCAAGTCAGACTCATGGCCATGAGAAGGCAGGCTGGAGACCCAGGGAATCTGATGGATTCCCTCTCCCAAAATGCATTCCTACACCCCTCGATCTGGTGGTGTTCTCCTAGAAAGCAAGTTTACTGGATGAAAACTGTTAGGACATTTGCTGCCAGCCCGCTTCCTCCTGCTTCCAGTATGGGTTCAGATAACTGGTTCAACAACTCTGCTTGCCTGCTCCAGCAGAATTTGGGGGAATCTTTCATGCCCTGCTGGGCCCTTACTGCCACCTGCAGCCTCTCATTCTGCACATGCTGCCTGTCATGGCTCAAATTCAGTACCTTATCTGAGCCCCATGATGAGGAAAGACTGATCTCCTGTCACCATGACAACTGCACCACACTCCTCACCTCACCAGGCCACCCCCGAATGGCTACAGATCTGTGACACCATACCTGATCTTGCCTCAGTGTTTGCTACTGCTGCACCCATGCCCTAAACAACTGACCAACAATAATTTAATTAATCAAGTATATAGTGGATTCCATCTCCCCAGAGGCTTGATAACTATGTTTATTATGCAACAAAGAGGGGAAGTTGGGTTGAACCATCTTATTCATGTAACATGTGCTTCCAGAGTGAATAATGCAGTTATAGAGAGGAAAGCAAAGCATTCCTGTTCAGAGGTTGCTTAGAAAAAATATGACAAAATACAAAGGTGACGAAGTATAGCAGGGTCAGAGTAAGATGCTAGTTAAAATAACATTCATACATAATTGGGCTTTCACAATGGTCAATCCCTGAGTAATGTTTAATATACACACAAGAGCTGTTGTATACATCTTACAGGAGGGTGAATGAAACAGAAACAGAAACAGAATAGAGCAAATAGCATTCTGGGGTTGGTTACCAGCTAAAAACCATAGAAACATGAAACCATTTTCATGAACCTCAGGGGCCTTGTGCTTGGTTTTTCATGGAATAAGGTGCAGGGGTTCAAAGGCATCTTCCAGGTGTGCTACAGAGCGGGGTGGGAAAGGAAAACATTCAAATTCCACTGGGCTACTGTGAGCTGAATGCATGAGTCCAAGCTGCTCTTCAGATCCCTCAAACAAGGAAAGGCTACATTCCATGGGACAAATAGGTGGCAGTACTTGCTTATTCCTAAGGCTGAAGTGTGGGATGATTATCCTATTAGCTTTACAAGATTTTAATGCACAACTGAATGTGTCTGAGCTTTTGATTCACAGAGAAATATAACTTTATTTTCTAAAGCAATAGTACCCAGTAACAGTAAAACAAAGATGGCTTATACGAGGTCTTCATTTTAGGACAATGCAGCACTTACCTGCATAGGCAGGGAAACCATGCTGCACAGACTTCCTGGGATTCAGAAATCCAGCTATCAGGTTGGAAAGGCATTCCAGCCATCTCTGAGCTCAGTGCATCTTTTCCCATCCTCCCAGCCAGTGCAGGAAGAACTGTGCCAGCTGAACCTCTGCAGCTGTAGCAGCAACCCAGAGACAGGGCTTAGGGGCAGTGGAGGTGGGGAAGAGGCAGGCACCACCATGACAGAAGTATCCTGATGGTACCTCAGCCTCCTTCCCTCATACTCTGAAGAGTTCTGCAAGACAGGAAGAGCCCAGAGGCAACCTACATGCAATGCCCATGATCCCCCGTGTTCAGAGAATTATTGGCCCCTGAACTGAATTGCATCATTATGTATTTAATTTATATTGCACTTCCTCCCAAAGGATCCATTGCCAACTGCCCTGGATGGATATAAATCCAGAAAGACAAGATATAAGCTGAAATAATGGGTACAATATTGACTCAACCATGGTAGGTGACAGCAGAAACAGCATTCACCTGTGTGCTGTCAGAACAGCAGCACAACCATCTTGGACTTCCTTCATGATAGTTTTCCAGAGGTATCGCTTTGAACAGGGATCCATTCCAGAGCTTGGCTCATCCTACAGAAACTAGCAGATCAATAAACAAAAGTTGAATTGATGGAAAGCTGGAGAAGTAAAAGCATAACTTTTAAGGAAAAGAGAAACTAGACATACTTTCTGAGTGCTGTTCAGCATCTAACTTTTTACCTGATGACTATGGTTACCTTTACAAAGTGGCAAGTCTTTTTGACTGAGGCGTATGATGGAAGAAAGACAGGATATAAATGCAGTAAAGTGCTTGAACAAACAATGACTAGACCTATACTAAGTAAGAATCTATAACAGGACATAAAACATGACATGCCAGAAGAAGCAAAGACTGTAAAATAAAGAAGTACATTCCACTTCTGATGAACCTGAATATTGAATCAAAGCAGCCTGCCTTGGAGGTATTACAGTTTTTTGTGTCTGCAAGCCCAAACTGATACAGTTTTGAACCTCTTATAGGCAAAGTTCTTCATAAAAAGAAAACAGCAGGCAGACAGCAAGAATATAGCTTTGTGACTGTGACAACTCTACTTTCCAATCAGTTAAACAGTTAACTAGGGTTTTCTAATCATGGTGCTTTGGGGAGGAACATTGACACAACCTATAAGATCTGTTTCAGTTTTTCAGTGCTCTTTGCAAGGTCTGCCGTCAAAACAACACTGAAGGAATTTGCAATGTGCAATTTGTAAGAGTGGAAACTTTCCATTTTCCAATTCAGATCAATTATTTCCAAAAATCCCATTCCTTACATCATTTCAAACAAATGTTTGCTGATGTTTGGACAAATAACTTATTGGACAAATAACTGCCCTCTATGCATACATGCACCCCTATAATCCTCACCATATTTTTTTTAAAAACCCTGTGTATTAGGAGAAATTAGTATAAAATGTATATGCTTTCTTGTGTGAGCTTAATAAATCCAAAGTCTCAATATTTTGAACATATCAAACTCAAGGTTGCAAAACTTCTCCAAGCTGGTGATGAACTCAGCTTATGATTGGAAATCAGAAAGTAAGTAGACCAGGGCACAACTGTACAACTGTCCAGCCAAAGCACCCCACCTGCCAGGTAAAGTGGCCAGCTGGGTACCTGGCAGTCACTATCCTTTTGTTATCCCAAACAGGCAACAAAATGAAGCCCATGATAGACCATTGATAGGATAAATTTGGTTGGTGACAAATTGTGTGTGTGAAGAATCATCCCAAGACATGGGGGGCTGCAGACTGTTCTGATCACTAGAGCAGCAGTATCATAGCCTTTGGATTTGATTTCCATCATACGTGCCAAAAAGGTTGCCCACCAGTGCTCTGGATGATTAGAAATGCAATCTGGTGGATTCCGGAGAGCAGGAACTTGGGAAATTTCAGAGTAATGCACATCTCGAAGCACAGCTGGATGTTAGATTTCATCATATAAACAGTGTCTGTACATAAGTGAAACTCTCAGGCCTGACTTGGCTCACTTGGGTAACTAATGAAGGAAGATACAAGATGCTACATGGGGCAACACAAAATGTGAACTGTTCCTAACTGAAAACTCAGATCCAACCACTTTTGAGCTCATACCCCATCTCCAGTGCTGCTTCCCTGTCTTCCGTATCCTCTCTTCCCCAAGTAGAAAGCTATAAACTTCATGAAGCCCAGCTGACAATTATGTTCCATATGCCATTTCCAGATAAGAAGAGGCCTTGTGGAGTACCTCCTGTACAGGAGTGAGGACCCCACCACTGACTTCTCTCCTAAGTAAGCCCTTGCTGGCTGGCTGGCTGGCTGGCTTGCTGGCCCAGGGAAGTGTGTGAGGGTGCAGGGACAGGAATACACATTGTACTGCAATTCAGTTATCTGAACTGACAATTTCTCCATGCCATAACATAGCATCCATAACTACAGTTTCTTGCTCAACACTCACTTGCCAGGATAGTCACCATTATTTTACTTGCTATAACTTTCTAAAGTCCTTCATACAATCAAAGAAAACACACTTTTCAAGCTCCTTAAATACTGAAATAAATAATAATAAATAAATTGAAGCAACCCGGAAAATGTAAACAATTTAGGAACCTGGTTCAAAAATGGGCGGATGGGGGAGCTCCATTTGAGACTGCTTATGTGCTGGTGACAGCTGCCTCAGCAAGAGGGAAATTGAACTCACTACCTGCTGGGTAACAGGCTGTCATAAATAGATTAGTGGGGAGCTGGAGCATCTTTTGACATCAAGGGCAGCTTTGATTTAAGGCGATTGCCTTCCCCTGGGCTAATTCAACCAGGTCAGTTTGGACTTATAATATAAAAAGGAAAAAAAAGCATCCAAGTTCTAAAGTGGGTCAGCGATACAGGCAGAAAGAGCAAGTGTCATTCTCTCTCATAAAAGTCGGAGATACAGCACACCAAGTGCCAGTCTAGATTACATTCAGACATAACAGCTTATTCATGTTAGCCTTCTAAGAAGAAAGTGTGTTTAGCTCTCCACTGCCTGTACTAAACTCTTTTCTTCTCATCCCAGGTTGATTTGGAATAGGACCAGCAAAAATGAGTTCCTCTTGAAAATCCTGGTTCCATTCTGTAGTTTGGGCCTTACTGCACTTCTGATTACATCACTTGATGTATGTTTATTTACTTGTTGATTTTATACCCCACCATTTTTTCTTACACAGAATTCAAAGCAGCTTACATCATTCTCCTGCTCTCTCCAAAACAACAACCCTATGGAGTATGTTGGGCCGAGAGTCTGTGACTGGCCCAAAGTCACCTAGTTGGCTCTATGGCTGAGTGGGGACTAGAACCCAGATCACCTGAGTCCAAAACCCATTCTCTTAACCACTGCTCCACAGTGGATGTATAACAAGGACTGACTGCCTCCCTCCTAAGACTCCACGAGCCATTGTGTTCTCTTTCCTTTCTCAATGGCAAGTCCTTGTGATAGAGCTTCCATTTTTGTATGAAAACATTGCTCTAATGTTCCATTGTTCCCAGTGCTGTCCCATGTGACAGGAACCCTGAAAAATGTCAATCACTTTACTATAGAAAAATAATATAATGTTTTGTGGTCCCTCAAATAACAAATTTAGTCTGGCACGAGCTTTGTGGATGCTATCTTCTTCAGCAGATACAAGAAGTGTTAATCATAAAGATTTCATGCATCTGATGAAGTGGATAGTGGCCATAAGAGCTTATACCAGAATACAGTTGTTAGCCTTTAGCTTTCCACAAAACATTTTGATGAAGCAAGTTAACACAGCAACACTTTGGAAATCATTTCCCAGGATTCTTGGGAAATTAGAAAGCAATAGCAACCTAGGCAACAGGAATTTCTGGGAACTACATTGCCCAGGTATCCTGGTGATCAAGACATTGTCCAAGCACAGGCCTTTCTACCACTATTAGTAATGTGGGCAAAGCTTGCCAAAGTGAGGCCTAGATATGGGCTTTGTTCAAACTGGTTTGGAAATGAACCAAAATGGTTATGGCTCAGCTTATTTGCAGGAAGCAGACCAGAAGTGGTTTCTCCATCTCTAATGACCACATGGCCATACATATGTAGTGGGCCGGTTAGCTCAGTTGGTTAGAGCGTGGTGCTAATAACGCCAAGGTCGCGGGTTCAATCCCCGTACGGGCCAAGGAGTCGTTTCTATGTATGGGAGTCATGGAGCATCGCTAGAAACAAAATGGGACAAAGCAAGTCTGGGCCCAGAAGTGGGAGAATGGGCACTGGGAGGGCAGAAGATGTACTTCTGTACACTTTTGATCCAAGGGCATGTTGAGGGCTGCATACTAGCAGTGGACAGAACCACACTCTGCAAAACACCCTCCCCCATGCTGCAATTAGGCTGTTTGAAACGCTCATTGTCATGGGGGAGGGGATTAGTTCAAAGAGGGAGCTACAACCTTGGGGAAGGGAGGGTTTTCCCTTCCTTCCTCATCCATGCCTTTCTGAAAATGCCTCCCTCACTACAATTAGGCCATTTAAACTCTTTTATCGACACCGGTTGAGGCTTTTAAAAAGGCTAAATGCACATTGACAGAAATGGAGGAAATCATTTCCCTGATCGGCTACTGATGAGGATAAACTATTTTGTGGGCTGAGGCTCTGTTGATAGGTGCTGAAGTAGAAGCTCATGCCCTGGATGAAAACATCCCACAGGCTTTTTCCAGACCACAGATCATGGGCTCACTATCCCTCGTCTAAGGGGAAAGGAACTTTTGCTGTATAAAGGAAGGTTGTGCTTTGAACAGATCTACATATGCGGCAACTTCCCTTCCTAAAGGGAGAGGAAAGCAAAGGAAATCAGTCTTGGACCCACTCTGTACTGGGCCATGTGGATGAAAATGAGTCCCTGTCATTAGCAATGAATGCCCTAACATCTTTAATCTCTCTCTATTACATGATAGAAATAGGACAATAAAGCTCAAGCACTGATGATTGTCAATTGCTGTCCTTTCAGAATATGCCTACGTATATGCACAGAGAGAAATTTCCTGTTTCTCAGTCTTTGGAGAAAAAACCCAATCAGCATAGTCCAGTGGAGAGAAAGACGGAGTTGCAGCTGGGAGACTTGGTACAAGTCTCGCCTCCAGAGTTTCTATGTAGCCTTGAGCAAGGCATCCTCCATTGCTCCCGTTAGCAAAATGAACATAATATGATGCTTACAGGACTGTCATGATGTCCAAGGCAAAGACAATAAAACATGTTGCAAATAAATTGCAGTATATACATATACATTAAACAGTAGGCTCCTAACATTGTTTATGAGAGCCTTTGGGCAATGAATGGCCTTGATGTGATTGCTTTGCCTTGTGGATCTCTGACTTCTTCTGGCTTGGATTTTATGCTGCTCTCCTGTTGATTTGGGTATTTGTGTATTTAGATACCTTGTATTTTGATTGTAAGAACCTTACTGCTGGCATCTTACATGGTATGCATTTTAAAATCAATACAGCTTTCTAGTACAACTCTCAAAATCACAGTTCAGCTGGTGCAATTTTATGTATCCCTTGGCTGAAAATTAAACTCTCCTTAAACTTCTTCAT